TCAGCTCCAGGTCTTGTTTTTGCTGACTGTATAGAGCTTCTCCATCTTTGGCTGCAGAGAATATAGTCAATCTGATTACGGTATTGCCCATCTGGTGGTTTCCATGTGTAGCGTCGTCTCTTGTGTTGTTGGAAAAGAGTGTTTGTGATGACCGGCTTGTTCTCTTGACAAAACTCTATTAGCCTTTGCACTGCTTCGTTCTGAACTCCAGGGCCAAACTTTCCTGTTGTTCCTTTTATCTCTTGACTCCCTACTTTAGCATGCTTATCTTTAACATACCGCAAAAAACACCTCTTTTGTATTACTGAAGATTAACAAGTTTAAAATAAAAACAATCATAACATCACTGTTTCATTTTATTTTTAAGTAAAGTTGGTTTGGCCCCTGAACACAGTTCAGATTTTTCATGTGGCCCCCTTTAGAATCTAATTGCCCACCCCTGCTCTAGAGCTATTATTCCTCATTCTGCAGCAGACAAGACAGTTTTGCTACCTGCCTAACAATTCTCTTTGCCAACTTTTATTTTTGGTTGGGGGAAGGGAGATCTTCACCTCAGCAGCTCAGGGGAAAAAAAGAATTAATGAATAGTCACATCCCCCTGAGGTGTACAGTGTGCATCACTGACACTGCTTAATTGCTTTGTGTGGAATCTTGTCATGAGAATAAATCATGCCAGCATAATTGGTTGCTTAGCAGCACAGTCATCTCTTTCTCTATATTCTGCAGCATCTGTCCTATGGGAGGTGGGTGGGGACTGAACACAACACCCTTAAATTCAGAATTTTGTGCTAAAGCAACAGATTACACTGTGAACCCATGGAGGCTTCGAAACTACTAATAGCTTTCGGGCAGTGCTGAGCTTTTTGTTCAAATGAAGAAGAACATTTATATTGAGAGAATCAAAGGTATTTTTCCACACTGAATAGATACTGGTGGAGGAAGGACACAGGGCATCGCAATTCAGTTCAGTGGCATTGCCTGCTCCTTGGCACCGGGCTGTTTCTCGGGAATGGCCAGAACTCACCTGGTAGTGAAGGTCAATACAACAAACAAAGAAAACACGCTTTTTAGTAAAAGCATGTCATCAATCGCATATATTATTAAAAACCTCTCTAGTGATTCTTGAGCCATGTTGGGCACGCATATTCTTCAGAGCCATGGCTGGCACAAATAGTAGGTTTTAAACACAGCTACACCCACAGCTCCTGCAAACACATGCAAGAGGAGTTCATAGGGTAGCTTTGCAGCTCACAGAAAGAGTGCTTGACAAGGAGAGGTGGGAAGAACGTTGGCAAACATTCTCTTTGGGACAAGGTGCCCCAACACCTTGAGACTGCCTGATAAGAAATTGCTTCTCTCTATTAGGATTCTTATTTTTTGTACAAGTATGAGACAGGATTTTCTTTTCCTTGGTCTAGATTTCTGTGATTTGCACAAAATATTTCTGTGTAAAACTATCATCTTTGGTATTTCTGAAGTAAAGCACAGGAGGAGGGGGGAAAGAGGCAGGGAGACAGGAAGAGAGAATCAAAGGAATGAGTAAGGGAGCAATAACACTGGCCATTTATTCTACAGTTTCCATTGTATTTAGCATGGATAAGTGCACAACACGAAGCTCAGCTTGGGGAAGCCAGGTGGAGAATTATCTCTTTTTGTTCTGTTGGCAGGGGTGGTTTAATTTTGTTCTGATTTCCTGGCATCACTTTCTCCGCTTTGTGCCCTATATGATCACCTGATCCAATGCACTCGGGAGGTGTCAGTTCACTTCCTGCAAGCACCAGTTGTCTCCAAAGAGAGTGAGGGATTTTTAATGCTTCCCAAAGTCAGCACTGCAACAGATTAGTGCCAAGTCATTTTAGAAACATAAAAAAGAAGTGAATGGAAGGGGTCCCAGTAGACACTGCCAGTTTGCACCTTGTCAGATCAAAGGTAGGGTTTACTTTAGCAAGCTCTGTGTGAACGCATTCAAAGCTATCTTTGCCTCTGCCCCTACCAATTCCTGCAGCATTATAATTGTTTGTATTCATCTGAACAGCTGCAGTTATTTCACCCATGGAAACCAGCAGGGACCTGATTCGAAAAACTTTGGGTCAAAGTGGATAGCGGGAAGGAGCACCCTAATTTGATTTTAAAAATGAAAACAACCTGTCTGATACCTCAAATTGTTATAAATCTACACAATAAGAAATCTATTGTAGCCTTGCACAGTGTCATCCACTTACACAATCTGCACAAAAACTGTTGCTGCTAAGAGTGCCTGAAAACATCTCACTGTGTTGCAGATAAGGAAAAAAAAACTTTGCTGCTGCTTCTTTTCATGCACAAAAGAAGCCAAGCAGATATTTAAATCCCTACAGAACAAAAATGAGTAGAATATAAAGTGTTGAGCAGAGCTATAGCATAAGACTTAGGAGATCACCATTTCACCTCTGTAGGAAAACCGCTGAAATTGGGACTCAGGTTATCTGAATCCAAGTCCTGTGGTCTGTCCTGCCCTCCTCTCCAATGTTCTGTGCTATTTTTGGAACCTCCATAAAGAAGGGTGTTATTTCTTGGAAGAGAGTGTTCTTTACAGCAGACAGCCAAGTCAATCTGTTGACAGCAGCACAGAAGTGAAAGGAAGCAAAATACGGTTGTCTTAAAGGGAGGGAGCCTTCTACTGTGTATCTCCATACTCCAGGGGACCCTTGAAATTGTGGCTGCTTCGGTGCTCCCATCAACTTCAATTTAGCTTTATTTGACAGCCATACTGGGAATGAACGTACCTTCAACTACTTAGCAACTTTCCTGATGTCCCTCTTTTTCCTCCCCCCCCATTGTTTGCCCCTATTTTGTCGACATGTTTTTATTACGTAAAAACCGTTTTATATATATTTTCATTGTGTATTTCTATGTTGTAAGCCGCCTAGAGTGGCCTTAACCGACTAGATAGGTGGGATATAAATAAAATAAACAAAATCAATAATAAATAAATAAACTTTGATTTCATCTGAGCAGTATCACTCAACTTTTGGTGATGCCTTATCTCCCAATGTCTTAAGTTAATGCTTTGTGTTCTTTTTCTTTTCCTCTGTTTTGAATTCCCCCCCCCCACAAAATTCCTGTCCCAACGGAGTGTGTATACCGGTGCCTTTGTTCGGTAACTGGTATGTATCTGCTTTTCCTTTAAATCCCCCACAGTCCAAGATAAGGCTAGCTGAGTCTCTTGGAAGTGAGCATTGACATGCCAGGAGAAGTGTGACCTTGGTGACATCTATGCAATTAACTACCACTGCAGTCATCTAGGCAAGAAAATGTTTAACCTGTGGTGCACTGGCAGGATTGCTCCCCAAGCCCCTTTCTTTTCTGTGGTGCAATAATCTATAAATAATACATTAGCACACTGGGCAAGAAAGCTACTCCAGTCTGGGGTATCAAGAGGTTAGAGATTAGTTTGTAATGTAGGATTGATTTTGCAGGGGTTAGTGATTTAATCATTACTAGCAACCTCAACAGTGACAATCTAATGGAGCGCAGTAAGTGTTTCACCCTAGAGATTCATTCATTCATACTGCTTCACATCTCACGATACTGAATTCTGGAAATACTGGGTTTTTTCCTGTACACCCTTAGGTGTTAGTGAGAGACTGAGAATTCTAGATTTAATCTTTTCAATATGTTTCTAGTCCTCTGGATGGTGATGGAGTAGCCAAAACACAAAAAGATTCAAGAAAAAGAGGGAACCTTGCTTTGGAATCTGTTTGTGTTTTGGCTACCCCATTAAGCAGAGAAGCCAAATTGTTTTACAGTATTGAGGATATACGAGACTAATGCACTCATGCCACATGTCTTTCAGTGGAACTATAGCTGCAATACAGTGGTGCCTCGCTGTGTGAAAACATCGCTGAACGGCGCAGAAAAGCCCATTGGAACGCAACAATATGCAAATAATATACAACACGATGTTAATAGACTGCTGAAGTTAACTGACCGAAAACATTTCTCTCATGATGTATTTCTACTGTGCCTCCTGGAATTAATTGAGCTTCTAATCTTTCTTTTAAGAAGTAGAAGAAAAGAGACATTTATAGGTCAGATTTTGCTGAGCTTTAATCAAATTGGATCACTTTTATACACCTTGTTGATGCCACCAAATGTATAGTTTGTCATCTTAAAATGATCAATGTTGGGCATAATTCACTGATGTGGTGCTCTGTCTTTTTTTCAGACGTGCAGCCTGAAAGAATCCCTTAAACACAGCCAGAATCACAAGCTATTTGACTGACTGATGGTTTGATAGGTGGCATGAAGTTGACTGCTGAACCCCTTATACAAAAGCCATCATGAATCATCTCAAGGTGAAGGAGAAAAGCTTATAATAAGTAAGGAGAAAAGTGACATGGTTTCCAGCTGTAGAGTATTTTGTTGCAGCAGTAGAACATGTTGTTTTATGGTGCCTCTAAATGGATTGGGCAGATTGGCATAGATGCCTAGATACAAATCGGATCTTCCTGGGAGAAAATCCACAAAGTCTCGTGTTAAGGAGAGGTGGGAAGCTCATGGCTCTCCAGATGTTTTAGAATATAGCTCTCATAATCCTATACATTAAATAAAGAAAATTTAACAGGAATTATAGAAGAAGATGTGGTAGCGATCCTGTCCTTTGCGTTGCAGTTGATTTGGGAAATTAAAAGTTTCTATTCCTTTCTGTTGAAGTTAATATTTGTCTCCTCTCAACTTGGTTTTGATATAATGATGTTTGTGCTGCATCCCTGTGAACTGACTCTATTTGTCAGACATCCTGAACCCCATAAGAAAAGGCCTTGTTCCCATTCTGACATGTGTGTTTGTGGCTATTTCTCTTGTCTGCCTCTCCCTGTTCAACAGTTTCTAGAATGAAGGAAGATGACAACAACCACTGCCGGCCTATTGGACTTCAGCTTTCTTCTCAGTGTAAGCAGTCAGCAAATGCTTAAGAAACTGTGGCACTACAGGGAATGGCAATACGTTTTGGTGTTCCACTCAGCTTGATAGGATGTGCTGGCCTTTTCTGTCATGATTATCTGTGGCATTCCTGTACCATCACTACAGCCCACAAATCTTACATCGCAGAAGTAGCTTTGTTCTTTCTCAAGCACTTTTGAGTATGGGCCTGTCCACACTGGCATATAAATATGATATATGGCTCGCTGATGGCACAGTTTGGATTGGGAGGGGGAAGAGACCTTGTCCACAAATGTTTCTACTTAAAACAATTCATCTTTCCCCTTCAAGAGATGTTGTGCACCTTTCTGGCCTAGCGGTAGGGAATGCATCATTTTAACAGGCTCATTGTTCGGCTTATTTAGCCAAGAGATAGCAGTCTTCAGCAGCTGCAGATTCCAAGGGAGGGTTTGAGAGAGAAAGTAGAGGAAGAACAAGGGAAGGGAAGCAAGGAGGGAGGGATGAAGAGAGAAAATGGAACAGCACTGACGGGAGGAGTGATATAAATATATACAGTATATATATTAACTTTTCCTGACTGTCCTCAGAATATCAGGGAAAGCAATTGATAGCTGATGAAGCTACAAGGGGTTGTTTGCTGCTTGGGAGGAGCATGCCAAGTGGCATATCTTTCCTCCCCACACCCACCTCAACAGACCCTTTGTAACCCGATCCAACCCAAACTCAAAACGGCCCATCCGGACAGGCTCTAAGTTTACATTGATTGATTGATTGATTGATTGATTGATTGATTGATTGATTGATTGATTGATTGATTGATTGATTGATTGATTGATTCCAGCTACCAAGGCCACTCTGGGCAGTTTACCTCCAGCAATCCAGTTAAGGTATCCATTAGCATCGGCCCTGCTGACTCCAGATTCTGAAAGGCTAAAGGTCTCCTTTTCCCGACATAAAGCTAGGCAAGTCTGCTTGCCATGATACAATGACAGGTCAAGTGCTGATCACTGGCCGAAAAAGGATGTCAACAAAGTAAGCCGAACAGTCTGTGAAACTCAATGCTACCCTCTTACTCCATCTCAAGTTTGAACCATTACTGAAATAATTGATAAAAATAATAAATGAATAAAAAATCCTAACTTACAATACTTCTTAGAAAGGTGGCGTTATTCCATAAACCTAAATTATGTTCCTATTATTAAAAAGAGGGTTGGGAAAAAAAACATTACATGAAATATATGGGTGCCTAATTTGACATAGCAGCAGATACATTCAGGACTGCCAAGCTTTCTCCACAGTGGGCACTGAAGTCTCTGCCTGGGAAACATTCTCCTTTTGTTGTACTACAGTTCCCAGGATTCCCCAATCAGCATGACCATTAGCTAGAGTCTGGAAAAAGGAACATGGTGGTTAGGGACTCCAGGAACTACAGTCCAAAAACATAATTTTTCCAAGCTTTAGTGCAAAATAAATATTTGGGACCCCCAGCTCAGGATTATGAATAGGAAAGCTAGGAAAACCTGAGTACTTGGAAGGTCACTGCTGGTCAAAGTGGAGAACACTGGGCTAGGAGGACTAACAGTATAAGAAAGGATGATCAGATCTGGTACTCCAGTAAGAAAGAAGCTGCAGGTTGGGAATTTGAATTATGAGAACTGGATTTGACTGCATATAAGCAGAGTTCGAGTGAACTATCTCCTCTTCAAAAAATATTAGGAAAAGACCTTATCCTCTTTCTCACACTCTTCTACCATCATGGTTTCAACCCTTTGTGATCCAGTCAAAGGTGGGATTACAGATTTGCGGTAGGTAACTGACAGAATTTCCCTGGTGTTTTTCAACAGGGATAAACTTTGGTGTACCGAAATTCATAACCTTGGCTTTTAATAAGAAAATGTGAAAGATAGCTCTCAATACAGAAAGAAGAGAATACACTAGTGCTAAGGCTCATATCAGCTGCTGATTCAACAATCCATCAAACTGATGGATTGTTGAATCAGAACCATCAGTACAGATTCCTGACTAATAAGCTTTATATTTTATTGTTCTGGGAGACAAAGAAGGCAATTTTTTGCTGCTCTTCTTGAGATTGCCTCCTGAATCTTTTTTCCTCCTGTATGAACTGAATTCCAGAGGGTTTTGGAGTGATTACTGGTCTTTGTTTTCCCTTCCTGCTTTTCTGCATGAGCTAGACTCTGTCCAAAATCCTGTTGTTTAGTGTAATAAATTGCATTAGAGTAGATCCATGGAATCAGTGGTAACTCATCTCCTGTTTAAGTTCCATTGAGTCATATGAACCTAATCTATCTGCAACTTATTTTAGCATAGCAAGTCATACATTCATTCATTCATTCATTCTATTCATACATAGTTAGAGTAGACTCATTTAACTCAATGGAACTTACAAAGGAGTTGAGAAACCACATTCCTCACTGATTCAGTGGGCCTACTCTAATACAATTTACTATGCTAAGCAACAGGATGTTGGCCTCTGAAACATTTTGAGTCCTATTTCAATTTCTTTTAATATATTCACCTATAAAAACTAACATTTTCTTTTGGAAGAACTTGTGTCAGTAGCTCCTCCTCACCTCAAGCTGGATTGATGTATGTTCCTTTCGAGAATCTTTGATTTGCAGTCATATACCTGTCCACCTTGGGATAGGCTTGTACAAAATTGATCTGAAGGGAATTAATACCACATGCCAGGAAGATCTTGGAGTTACAGTAGACCACATGTTGAATATGAGCCAACAGTGTCATGCAGTTGCAAAACACACACACACACACACACACACACACACACACACACCCCACTATTTTAGACCACATTAATAGAAGTATAGTGTCCAAATTCTGTAAAGAACTAGTTGACTTCTAATTAACACTAGTTAGGCCTCATCTTGAGTAACAGGATCTGTTCTTAGTCACTCTATAGGACAACACACATAATAAGGGGCTAAAATTCCAGAAAGCCAGCTTTCTGTTGAATATCAGGAAAAACATCGTAATTGTTAAGCAGCACGGCAATGGAAACAATTACTTTGGGTGGTACTGAACGCTCCAACACTGAAGGCATTCAAGGAAAGTTAGATAGCCATCTGTCAGATATACTTTAATTTGGATTCCTGCATTAAGCAGGGGGTTGGATTCAATGGCATTTTAGGCTTCTTCCAACCCCATTATTCTATTATTCTGTTATTGCTATTTGATAGAGTAGCATGTCCCCATCCTTGCAGCTTCCTATTCAAGATAGCGGAACTGAAGAGAGTGTTAAGAAACTTCTTAGCATTTAGTTACTATTTTCCTTTGCTTAGTGTACTGGTGTTATGCTTTATATTGAATATTTTGTTCACACTTTCTAACTACTTAAGTTCCCCCACTTTAATCATTGTTATTATTACTATTTTTATTATGTTTATTTTCAATACAACTATTAGTTTCAGTGTTTTATGAACATCTATGAATTTTCACCATTGTGTCTGTTATTTCAGAAAATTTTAACTTGAGTTTATTTTTTGGTCTATTTGTGGCTTAATGGGAACTCTCCTCTAGATCACTGGAGAAAATGAAAAGAGTGAGGAGAAACAACCACTCTTTTACCTTGAAACAGTAACTATAGCCAAAGGGGCAGAGTGGCTTCAAACTTCATTTTATGGGCTCCTTCTGGGTCCTTCTGGCAGATTGCACATATGTTAGCCTTCCCACTGCCATACCTACGAATCTTAAACCCACTCCCAACCAAATAAAATCATGCTTACTAACTAGCTGCAGGATAACTGCCAGTCCATCTCTCTTGCCTGTCCTAAGCAAGATGAAAGAATAATGGATATCATGGTACGTTATGCTTTATATTGAATATTTTGTTCACTCCAGCGCCCCCCTTCGGTTCTTTCGCCCCCACACTGACCCTTTTCTTTCTACTGCCCCCCTGAAAAATGAAATCGCCCCCTGGGGGGCATTATTGCCCACGTTAAGAACCACTGCTCTAAACAAGAAGACAGCTATTTTTCTCACAGTTGCAAACTGCTCAAGCACTGTTTGGAGACTTCTGGGTACTTGAAAAAGGAGCATTTTGCAACTGTGAGAGATATAACTGTTTGGTTGTTTGGATGTCTGCTTTGCCAAATGGCACACCTTGGCTGCAATTCACAGTGCTATTTATGATGTATAAAACCTTGTATGGTTTACAATCAGCTCACATTAATTGAAAGACTGCTTCTTCCATATTAACCATTTAAAATAGTCAGGCAAAGATGGCCCCTTCCTTTGCCCTGTCACCATCAGAATTCCACTTGCTCTGAACATGACACAGCATTTTCTCTGTAGAGGTTCCCACCAAGAATTTTCTGCTAATTTATTTATTTATTTTTTATTTATTTGATTTGTACCCCGCCCATCTGGTCTTCCGACCACTCTGAGCGGCTAAGGCTCTGGTGTTCTGTCGACCTGTTCTGTCGACCTTCTGCTGGCAAGCAAAGGTGTCTGTTATTTAGGCAGAACTTTGAAACATATGTTGAGTTGCTGCTGAGGGGTTTTGAGCTGGTTGTGGGCTATTGTTTCTGGTTTTAGTCTGTTTTTATGTCATTCTGACTGTAAGCCATCTGAAGCGAGTAGAGAGGGATGGTGTTAAATAAATAAATAAATAAATAAATAAATAAATAAATAAATAAATAAATAAATAAATA